AAAATAAAATAAATGTTTTAAGGGTGCCCACCTCTTTGAATCATAGTACAAAACCATTATTAACGGTTCCTTTTGTCTCTTCTGTGGTATTTTATTAAATAAATGGCATACAACATCCATTTTCACAACATACAGCCTTAGTGTGTGCTCCTGTTAATGCAGTCTTACCAATTGTTAAGCGAGTCATTGACCCGTTTTTAAGTTGTAAATTAATATTCTGACCATCAAATATCACTTTATCATTTATTATATCCAAATAATTTTTAGGTGTTAATTGTTTATTTTGTCGTAAACTAACTCCTTTCATTTTTTGTGCAATCTTTTTAAAATCACTTCCATCAATTGAACCGTTGAATGATGTATAACACTTGGGCATAAAGCAACCATGTTATCACCTTGTTTCTCAATTGCTAAACCCAATAACTTCTTCTCATGTGCTTTTTCTTCAGCTTTATTCTTTAATTTAGGTTTAAATTTCTCATTAAAACAAAAGAAATCAAAAGGTGCGAATTTGTAAATGTTTTTATCATAAAATTTTTTATCGGTAACAATTGCTTGAAATGCTTGAGTGTTAGGAAGATTTGGGTCGCCAGCAATAGCCCAATAAGATGAATCAGTATCACCTTCAATGAAATGAAAACGAACATTCAATGCATTTATACATAAAATCATAAATGAAAACCAAATACCAGTATTTAGCATTATCTAAAGTGAAGAATGCCTCTTGTAAACATGTATCACATCTATAAAATCTATCTTTAAGCATCACTTGATACGTATCTTCACCTATTTCTCTTATGTTTTTAAACTTATTTGACATACATGCAACGCGTGCCTTCTGTGCATTCATTATTTTATCTTTGCGTAATTTTGTGTATTCATTGCATCGTAACCATATGATCCATTAAGTGAAATCTTGCAAAATAAACTTTTTCCTTTATTTCCTTCTAATTCAGCCTTTTGTCTTTCATTCATAAATTCGTTCGCAAATTCATTAAAACAAGTGTTTTTAGTAAATGTTAAAATTGATTGAATGTCATCAATGATAAAATGAAATCTGTCTATTAGATACCAAAGATAATAAGAAGAAAATGGTTGATATTGGTTGTGTGTTGATGCTAACTGAGTTAATTTTCTCTGTTTCTGGTCAACTGGTAGATTGTTTGATTTCATGTAATTATACATAAAACTGCCAATTGTTTTTTCATCTGTGATAATATCTAAGTTTCTTATTATCGGTAAAAAGTTTATGTAATCATTAATGTATTTTTCATCAATGTGACCCTTTACTTCAGCCACGAATAAAGTATTTTTCTTCTTAATTATTCCCAATGCTTTTGCTTTCTTTGTTGCTGTATCACAAATGATAACACCATTCAATCTTCCCGGCATATACATTTTATGGTCAGTATATTGAATGAAATCATGAGGATTAGATGAAAATGATGAAGGATATAATGAATTAAAGTCAACACCAACGAAATGAGTCATAATGTTGGAAGTGTCCTCATTTGATACAGTTTTAGTTTCTGGATTATATGAAAGTTTATTAATGTGCGTGATTCCTTTAAGATTTACTCTATGTTGAACATTTGATAAACCACCAGTAATTCCATTACGGAGGATGTGATAAGCTTCAACTGAATCTAGAGTCATTGGTAAATTATTTTTTAATGCATAATTTCTTAAATTGATTCTTAAACGTTGAACATCTTCATCTTTATTTGATTTTACGACATTGCAATAACAACACATTAACTGACAATTTTCTTTGGTATGTGGTTTTTCATTATCGATTCTATCTAAGTTGGTTTATTAGCATATGTAAACGCTTTACCACACATTTTGCATTTAGATGAAAGGATTAAATCGTGATAGTATTGATAGTCATCCATTGAAACATTGTTTTTAGTATCCCTTTCTGCTTTTTCATCTTGTTTCTTATATGAATCAATTTTATATTTCCAATACTTTTTTGTTAATTCAAAACTTGATTCCACATTTTCTTCTTCTGGATATGTTTCGTTAGGATTGAAGTTCTTATATGCTAACGCGTAACGAATCATTGATGCATTGATGATAAAGAAAGATTATGAAGCATGTCAATTTTATAAACAAATGTTTCTTCAATAATTTTATCAATTGGGTCAATCATAATTTCAACGTCTTTATTGCAATAATGAATAAAATATTCTAATCTATTCTCAAAATTTTTAGCATCATTGAGATATATTTGATAATCTGAATCGGATATTGTTTCTTGAGTTAATGCTGAATAAAATGAATCTTGAGTGAATGGTTCCACTTTATATAATTCATCTTCGTAATTCTCCCATGTGATGAATTGATAAGGGAAAAAGGATTTAACACGTGATTTATTGTTTCCGAAATCTTGAGTGAATTGGTCTAATGTTCCACCCGCTATATAATTTCTGATGTCAATAAATCTTAATTCATATGGACAGTTTGTTTTCTTTACAATGATTTGCTTAAATTGAGAAGAAGAACCCAGCATTGATTTTATTTTCCATTTTGCAGTGTTTAAATCACGAAGAATTAAATTTAAATCAAACTTTCCCGAATTAAAACCTATGATATTCACTTTATTGAATTCCTCATCTAGAAGTTCTTTAAATGCTTCCTTCTGTTTTTCATTTAATGTATGGGACAAAGTCCCCGCCGTTTGGTCCGTTTGCGGCTTCATTAATTCTTCATATTGTTCAATATTTGATTTAGCAACTAATGAACAGGTTGAAAATAAAAACTCAATCCAATCAGAGATGAACGAATCACTTGATGTTAAGCAAAAATTCCTCGTATATGTTTTATCACGGTCTACGACCTCGCCGCTTCGGTCTGAAAGACCTTCAGGACTCAAAGAGTCCGTTTGCGGCTTTATTTTGACAGTTGATGATACCATAAATGGTTTTAAGTAAGCGTTCAAAGTTGCACACTCAGAAAGTTGTAATTCTTCTTTAGTCTCTAATGTTTCGAAGTCAAAAGTAATATAATATCTTGTTGGTTTATAATATTCCTGCAAATTGTGAGCTAATAGCCATTGATATATCTTCTGTTTCGTGATATGTGGTGCATATGGTTGTTGTGTGTTTTGCAATTGAACGTCTTGAATTAATCTTCCATTATTTTCTTTACATTTCTCACAATGTTTTAAAAATCTTCTTTGGTTTTTCCTTTCTGGGTCATCACGGATAGAATATACTTCTTCTTTGCAAAAGGGGCAAACTTTATATCCTGTGAGTGCTTCAACGTCTGTAATTCTGTCAGCGTGAAGTTTTCCACATGGACTCTGTGTTAATAAAATATTTACTGTTTCAAATTCTGGATCTATCATTATTGATTCCACTAATGGAAAGTCTACCTTATTTATGTCTACGTCTTCTGGTTGAGGATCACAATAATAAAAATCAATATTAACGTTTAACATTCTTGCTAACCTCTCACTTTCTGATGAAATGTAAACCTTCATATGCATCTATGGCTTCATTTAAATAACTTCTACGAGTTTTAGGATTAACACCATCAGGAATGTTATAGAAGCGTTTAAATAACCTTCTACCTTCTGCTCTAATTTGATTATCATTCATTTTAGCTGTTCCGTTTTTGTTCATTTATGTAAGAATAAAAAATTAAAAAATAAATAAAAATAAAGTTTATTTTTTTTAAAGTCCAGGGCTAAAGTCCATAAAATGAATTAAGAACACATAAATTTTTATCATCTGCGACGTGACGAATACATTTTAATTTACTCAAGAATGCGTACCCTGATACATTAAATCTAATTCCTGTCTTATTTAATTTCACAACTTTGAAAAGGAATGTATGAATAGCTATAAAATGATGAGATGATGTTTTATGGGTTGCTTCCATTTTTTCTGAAATAAATGAATAAATATAATGTTTATAAGTTTTCATATCTTTTATGTTCTTAATAACGAATGGTATAGACTTTTCAACTTCGTCTTCCTTCGGTGCTGTTCTTTCATATGAAACATTATTGGTATCTTCAATAATGAAACCACAATCGCATAAAATTTTATATGTACCAATTGTTTCTTTTGATATTTTATCTAACAAATCAAAAACTTTATCAACACCTGTACATTTATTTAAATAATAATTTGTGTAAATATCATGGTCTTCTTTCTTAATCGTATTTGTTGCATATGTTACATTTTTCAGTGCTTTTTTGAATTTTTCAGAATCAAGAGGAGGTGAAAGTAATATACATGGATAATCTCCATCGTCAATAAATTGTAACTTATGTTTATGAATAAATTTTGTGCCTTCTTCTGAAAGTGTTTCATCTATTTCACCATCTAATAAATTTTTAGTAGATTCCAAAAAGTAATTTTTATATCTTTCTTCATGAGATTTTTGAACTTCTGATTCTGAAGCTGGGATATTCATTAAACCCTCTACTTCATTCTCATTATATTTTTCAACTTCTCTTAATTCCTTAATTTTTTCATCTATTTCATCTCTTATTTTTTCCAGTCTTTCAATTTCATCATATTCATCATCTTTAATCCGTTCTTCATAATATTCAGGGAAAACATCAGGTTCTTTAGGTTTTTCTTCTTCAGATGTGGGATATAAAAAATTTATAACATCATCTTTATTCATTTTTCCATCATAATCTAAATCATTTAATAACTCCGCGAATTTTTGACAATTTCTTAAATAATATTTATTAACTTCATAACTCGCCTCCTCTAATATATCCTTTATTTCCTCGTTTGTGAATCCCAATTTTTTAACGTCGTTAGTCTTGACACTCATTTTCTTACGAATTAAAAAAATAAATTATTCAAAAAATGTAAGACATGAATTTTTAAAGTTTATTTTTTTATTTTTTTTATTTTTTTTTATTTCATTATGTATGGGTTTAGTGAAAATTTCTTACGATTCTGAAAATTTTTAAATCTTGATTTATTCAAAAACGTAAGAATAAAAACCGTAAAAATCATACATTTTTTACTTCATATGTAAAAAAAAATGATACAAAATCGCTCAAAAATGTATGAATTCTTACGTTTACAAAAAAAGTCACAAAACCCTTCAACATATACTACTTTTAATTCATAAATCAACAAAATAAAAAACAAATAAATATTAAATTTCTGAATCATAACTAATTTGAATTCATCTATTTCGTGTGGTTCTACTTCTGGTGTTTCTGAATCATATTCAACATTGTTCTTGTGTCTCATATACAAAGCAAAACAAACAATTCCAATGACAACTAACAAGAAGAAACAAGCAATTCCAACAAACATAAATGTATATTTCTTTTGACTTGATTTTTCAGCTGATTCAGAATTAGCATTATCCGAATTTCGTGTTTCAACTATTGATTGACCATCCTCAATTTTGATTGTTCTTGCTGGTGTTTGTATTGGTGATTTGTCTGGTGTAATAAATGGAGTATATTCAGATGTTGAAATTGGAGATTTCTTTGGTGTCATTGGAATTGTTTCTACAGGTGTCAACAAAGGAGTTATAGAAAGCGTATCATAAGGTGTCTCTACAAATGTCTTAAAAGGAGACATATGTATTGTAGCTATTGGTGTCTCTTTGGAAGTATATTCTAATGTAGAATAAGGAGTAACATCAAATGTAACAAAAGGAGTCATTGGAATTGTTTCATAAGGAGTTTCCATGTCTGTATATCTGATTGTTTCATAAACAGTTTCAAAAGGTGTAGGCATGAAAGTAGGAGAAGGAAAAGGTATTGGAGGAGGCAATCTAATAATATACAAAGTTATATAAAATGTTACTTCAACATTTTCAAATCTTGTTAATGAAAAATATTATGTTCCTTCTGAAGATCTAAACATATTTGTAAATGCTGCTTGATATTGTTGTAAAGGAGTTACAGCTCTTGCGTAATTGTTAAGAGAACTAGTTTTATCCATTGAAAATGTCAATGATGTATAAAGATTTCCGGATCTTCTGTTTGTAAAAATAATATTAAATTCACAAAATTCAGGGATATCAAAATAAAGATAAGTATTTTCATTTGGTTTTGCAGTTATTGTTGTTGTTTGAACTTGTCCCCAATTCCATGCAAACTCAAATTCTATTCTCGAACTATAAGTGTTCTCTGCTAAATGTGTAATTGGAATCTGACAATATGTACCTCTCAAATTTTTAGGACATTGACAAAAACCGTTTTCATCATGCTCATAACCGCTGCAATTACCAGGAACATTTGTTTTACTTATTTCAAGTAATTCTAAAGGATTTGTTGTGGTGTCAGATGTGTCAAAACCGCCCAAAATTGAGAGAGCAAATTCAATTTGTTCTGGATAATCATAATTCACGAAATTATTAGAATAAACATGAATAGTTATATTCTGTGGATCAACATCATACAACAAAACTTTTTCATTCACTGACAATTCTTCTTGATATTTGTTATAAAAGTTTCCTGTAAAAACTGATCCATTTTCTAAAACAACAACAAGATTCAAGTCAACATTCAATGAAACATAACCATTCGGTTCAATATCATAAGGAATATCATTATAACTCATTGTTACAGCTAATTTGGATTTCTTCGTCAATGTCAAATTATAAACTTTATGATCCTTTTTGGCAATTTTTTGTTTATCTAAAAATCTGACACCAAAATCAGAAAAACCTAAACCTTCTGTTATATTTGGAACACCATAGCCGCTTTTCACATTCCATATATCATTAGTCAATGGTTTTGCGCAGTTAATCAATATAGACTTAATCAAATACGATGTCGGCGAAATCGAGTTATCCAAAGTTTTTTGAAAAGTTGGATAAAAACCTTCAACAAAAAATTGTCTGATCAAAGAAATCAAACCACTACATAATGCAACGGAAACAGATGTTCCTGACATTTTCGTTAATGAATTATAATCTAAACTTTCCGATCCTTTCTTAGCAGAAATTATTTCTTCACCTGGTAATAAAATATCTGGTTTTTTAGTTCCAATAACTGTCAATCCAGGAGCACTGAAACTTGCAACATTTAATGTGGAATTATCTATAGTAAATGAAAGATTAATCTCCGTTAAATTTTTTAATGATTCAAAGTCACTTTGATTGTCGACGATTAAAACGGTTTTGTCGGTTATTGATTGACAACTTTGATTATTATAAATGACTATTTGAGAAACAGTTGTTTCAAGGCATTCATCACTTATTCTTGCTCCATTTTCGTTTTCTTCAGTAGACAAAGGAATTTTTTCTAAACTTTTTCTGTATTTTACAATTGAATAGTTTACGTCCAAAATTTTTGCCAAAATTTGATTATTTATAAAAATTGTTGATTGTGATTCGATTTTAGCTGAATTCAGTTGTGAAAGTGATCCAACAGTTAGTACATTATTTGCATCAGAAGGTGTGACAACAATTGATTCTTCTCCTGCAGGAAAAACGATGTTTATTTCTGGATTTTCATAACAAATTTTGTTTAAATATGAAGAATTATCGAAATCAACACAATCGAAAACCCAGCTGTTTGAAAATATATGAGAGTCTATTTCTTTCATTGTTTGGATGATTTCGCTGAAATTTTCTGTTGAATTATATAAATTCATTTCTACAACGTGGGGTTTTGAGTTATAAGCAATACATTTGTAAAGATCATTGATACCACTATGATCGTATGGATTTCCTGAGATTAAACCGGCCATAAATGTTCCGTGAATTTGATCAGAATTTTCGTTCGAGTAATTATCGTATCTGATGATTTTTCGATGGTTATTATTAGTTACTCCTACTTCAACTGTTTGTTGCTGATCATAGAAGTAAGAATGATGTAAATCAACGCCATTATCTTGTATTGTAATAATTTGATTGAAACCATCAATGCCGAGATCGGACAATACACGAGGGACTTCAAAATAACCATTGTAATCAGAGAGATAATCCTTTCCGCTCTCAATATATCCAACAGCATATCTGGCTTGAAGTTTTGCTTGTTTTGAAGATTGGATTTCACGTACAATGCTTTGATTTATGATGCTGTCTATTTCATTTTGCGTAAGACTGTTGCATTCAAAATATTCAAATTTAATTTTTTGACATTTTGCATTTGGTTGCCATGTATCATCTGCTATTACTGTAAATTTATTATTTTTGTTTGAGTTTAAGAAATTTAAAGTTTTCTTTGGATATCTCGTAAATTTCAATGGAAACTCTTGTTTTAAAGCTGTTATTTGTTCATCTGAAATGTATGATAAGTACTTGCTCGGTGTAATATAATGCTCTTTTCTAAAGATTGAGGAAAATTTTGTTTGTAGAGAATTTGATACTGGATTAAAATCTTTTGTTTCGGCATAGTACCATCCACCAGTTAGCTCTTAATTCCTCCCAGTGAGAATGCTAGTCAACGCCGAGAGGAACATTAAAGATTTATAACAAATGATTTTCAAATGTTTACAAAAGTCTTAAATTTAACATTTTCTAAAATCATATTAACATATTAGTATTGAATAAATATTGTTTTACACTTAACCACTTATTTGAAAAGTTTAAATTTTTTTCTTATTTAAACATATCAATTAAATCTTCTATATAGTACAATTTTGCGTTTTGCTACTTTTCAAAGTACATTCAAAAAATCAACAAATTTCTCTCGATTTCCATTTTTTAAATAGATGTATTTCTCGTTATTGATAGTTGCTATTATGATTATGCTTGGTTTTTATTCTCCATAACCATCCCAAGTGATTAATTCTATGATATTTTAATATCATTACTAAAGCAGCCAGAATCTATAAGAATTGGACATACTGAACAGATATTTGCTAAATAAATCAAGACAGAAAGGTGATAAAAAGAGATTTTATAAAAAAAAAATTTATTCAAAACAATAGAATAGAATTAATATTATCGATTATAAGGAAGTGTTTCTTTGGAGCACAAATACATTAGTTTTTTGAAATACATTCTAATTAATGCTCTGATTTTCTTTGAATGAACAAAAGCGAAATAAAATACCAAAGCAGCAATAATATAAATACCATAATTAATATGGTAATTGTTTGTATTAATATCAGGTGAATTTGGAGTCATTGAAGGGCTAATTGTTTGTTTTGGAGTTCTATTCAGTGATAGAGAGGGAGATGGTGTTTGTTTTGGTATATAGAAACCAAATTTGTCCGCTATTGACAAAAATCCATCAACATTTTCTAAAATTGTTGATTTATTAGATTCTGATTCATATAAAACAGCAGCAGGAAGTTTCCCTTCAGCTAAATTGAATAATTTGAGGACTTGATCGGTTCCAAATGCAGAAGAATGGAACATTCTGCATTGAGGAGACAAAAGTGGGTAGTATTTGTTAAACTCTGTGTAATCCGTGGATGTTGAGATATAAATCAATATCTTGGGTCCTAATTTCTTTATTTTTTCTAAGGTAATGTTAAATTCTGTAAAATTATTGCTTTCAACGAAATTTCTAATGGAATCAACTGTGTAGTTTTCGGTTAAATAAATTATATTATCGAAATCTGTCTGAAAACTTATGTTTTCTGGTTTTGTACGATTAATATAAAAATTATATTTTGAAACGTCAAGATTTCTGATTGCAAATCGGACTTTATTCAATAAATTGTATGAATATGGTGGATAATTAAAGAGGAATGAAGGTATTTTGCGAATTCCTTCGTTTTGATATTCAATTAAAGGATTGAAAACGTATTTTTCATAAATTGTAAAGCCATGGTTGAAAAGATAATCTATATCATTCTTCATATGATCCGGAACTTTTGTTCCATTGTAAGTCGTGATATAAGTTGGATAAGCGTTGACTGAAAATTCAGAGCATTTTTCATGATATTTCTCGCAATTGAAGTCATAAAATCCAATTTTAGTGTCATTTTCGAAATATTCTGATACTTTGAGGAATTTTGGATGTTGTTCTTGACAATGATGACACCATGGAGAAAAAAACATGCCAAGGTGTGGAATATCAGTGTGTTTATTTAAATACTCTGTAATGTTTGATTCATTTAAATAAACACGAAAGCCAAGAGTAAACAAAATCATTGTTCAATTTTACTTAGGGGTGATCACATGAAATCCCCTGCAATAAAAATAGTCGCCAATTTCTTTTGAGAAAGAATGATTTGACTTAAAGATCCAAACTAATACGTCAGATCTAATATAACTGTTAGCATGAACATTATATCTTTAAATTTTGAATGGGGAAATCTGATTTTTTGATAACTCAGAAATTTTAAATGGAAACTATGATGTATACATAAATCAGAAAATTGGATTCATTATATGATATCAAATATATAATATATACATTTTAACTTAATATTTTACCTTTCTCAAACTCTTGCTTAACAATTAAATTAGTAAATAAAAATTTTTCATGACTGATATTTATCCTTATAGAGGATATAGTGAGAGTGTAAGTTTAGGAAAAGGAACATATCTGTTTGAATGTTATGGAGCAGAAGGTGGAAATAATGATAAAGTTCTTGGTGGGAAAGGATCATATATCTCAGGTGTTCTATATAATGATGAAAATAATAAAGAATTGACTATTTCTGTTGGAGGTCAGGGTTCTGAATTTGTAAAAAATACTGCAAATTCAAATTTAGGCGGTTTTCCAGATGGAGGATCTAGTGGAAGAAACAATGTTAAAGTAAATGAAGGTGGTAGTGCTGGAGGTGGTGGATCTAGCTCTATCTATATGGATAACATACCAATCATTGTTGCAGCAGGTGGATCAGGTGCTGCAGGCAACTGCCCAGGAGCTCCAGGAGGAAATCTTAATAATGCATATAATTATTCTAAATATAATGTCTTAACAAATGTTATCATTCCTTCTGATTCCCAATGTGATATAAGTGTTAAAACATATTATAGCCAAATTCCACCAAGCGGGTATGGAGGTGGATATCCATGCGGAATAAAAGCAAAACAATCATATATTTCATTGTCTTATGGTGCTGTTTCAACAAGTGGAATGTCATACATTTATATAGATAAAATTAGACTTGTTTCTATGAATGATGGAACTACACCATAGGGATGCGTTAAACACGCCATTTGACCGGGCGTACATTTTTTTGTTCGCCCAAAAATTTCGCCATTTGAGAAATTCAAAAATTAAAAATAAAATTTTAATCTTGATTTTTTTATTTTCGTGATTTTTTTGAAACTTACATAAGCGATGAAATACTTTTTTTAAGTAATCGTTTATTATATATAAATATATCTTAATAAATTTAATTCCTTAAGGTAGAGCGTGTTCAAATTTAAAATCTCATACAATATTTTCTTAATGGCGTATTTTTCTGAGGTCGCCCAAATAAAGGCGAATTCAAAATTGAGAACTCCAAGGCGTATGGCGAGTATTCAAAAAGTACGCCACTTACAAAATATTGAATGTGGATTATCAATTTTTTGGCGTTTTCAATTTCAAATTTTGATATTTATGTTTATTTTATTTAGTATAATGCTAAGAATTAAAATATAAAATTCATAGAATTTTTTCTTTGAAAATATTTTACATTTTTATTAGACCACTCCTAGACTAGTCATCAGGTTATCCTCAGATCATCCTCAGACTACTCCTTATCAGATTACTCATCATCCTCAGACTACTCCTTAGACCCCTCCTCATCAGACTACTCCTCAGATCTTCCTCATAAGACTCCTCCTCAGATCTTCCTCCTGAGACTACTCTTCAGACTACTCCTTAGAGTCCTCCTCATCAGACTAGTCCTGAGACTAGTCCTCAGACTACTCCTGAAACTACTCCTCAGATTATCCTCAAACTACTCCTCGGTCTAATCCTCAGACTCCTCCTCAGATTATGCTCAGATTATCTTCAAACTCCTCAGATTATCCTCAGACTACTCCTCAGACTACTCCTCAAACTACTCCTCAGACTACTCCTCGGTCTAATCCTCAGACTCCTCCTCAGATTATCCTCAAACTCCTCCTCAGACTACTCCTCAAACTCCTCAAACTACTCCTCAAACTCCTCAGATTATCCTCAAACTCCTCCTCAGATTATCCTCAAACTCCTCAGATTATCCTCAAACTCCTCCTCAGATTATTCTCAAACTCCTCCTCAGATTATCCTCAAACCCCTCCTCAGATTATCCTCAAACTCCTCCTCAGATTATCCTCAAACTCCTCCTCAGATTATCCTCAAACTCCTCAGACTACTCCTCAAACTCCTCAGATTATCCTCAAACTCCTCAGACTACTCCTCAAACTCCTCAAATTATCCTCAGATAACTCCTGAAACTACTTCTCAGACAACTCCTCAGATTATCATCAAACTCCTCAGATTATCATCAAACTCCTCCTCAGATTATCCTCAAACTCCTCCTCAGATTATCCTCAAACTCCTCAGATTATCCTCAAACTCCTCCTCAGATTATCCTCAAACTCCTCCTCAGATTATCCTCAGACTCCTCCTCAGACTACTCCTCAAACTCCTCAGACTACTCCTCAAACTCCTCAGATTATCCTCAAACTCCTCAAATTATCCTCAGACTACTCCTCAAACTCCTCAGACTACTCCTCAAACTCCTCAGACTACTCCTCAAACTCCTCAGATTATCCTCAAACTCCTCAGACTACTCCTCAAACTCCTCAAATTATCCTCAGATAACTCCTGAAACTACTTCTCAGACAACTCCTCAGATTATCCTCAAACTCCTCAGACTACTCCTCAAACTCCTCAGATTATCATCAAACTCCTCCTCAGATTATCCTCAAACTCCTCCTCAAACTCCTCAAACTCCTCCTCAGACTACTCCTCAAACTCCTCAGACTACTCCTCAAACTCCTCAGATTATCCTCAAACTCCTCAGACTACTCCTCAAACTCCTCAAATTATCCTCAGATAACTCCTGAAACTACTTCTCAGACAACTCCTCAGATTATCCTCAGACTCCTCCTCAAACTCCTCAAACTCCTCCTCAGATTATCCTCAGACTCCTCCTCAGACTACTCCTCAAACTCCTCAGACTACTCCTCAAACTCCTCAGATTATCCTCAAACTCCTCAGACTACTCCTCAAACTCCTCAAATTATCCTCAGATAACTCCTGAAACTACTTCTCAGACAACTCCTCAGATTATCATCAAACTCCTCAAACTACTCCTCGGTCTAATCCTCAGACTCCTCCTCAGATTATCCTCAGATTATCACTTTACATATATATCGATAACTAAATAATTACTTATTATACTTTCTTTATTTTTTTTTAATTTTAAAATAATATTAATATATCTTTCTACGTTTAATGATGAAAAGAGAAAGAGGAGTAAAAAGAGGAAAGAGAAAAGAAAGAGAGAGAGAGGAAAAAAAAGAGAAAGAAAGAAAGAAAGAAAGAAGAAAAAAGGACGGCGATAATTTTGTATTGTTTTGTTATTCGGCCGAATGGCGGGTACGAAGTAGCCGCCATTCGGCCCCAAAAATGGCGTATTATTCTATTTTTAAACGGTCATAGCGTAAAACCGTCGCATCCCTACTACACCATTCGGAAGACTAGGTAACGGAGAAATAAGAATTTCTAACTATTGCTCAGATGCAAATTGTGAAGATTGTGCTCAAAACAAAAACTATTGTTCTCATTGTAAAGAAGGTTACGGCGTGAATTCTAAAGGTACTTGCCAAGAGAATTTAAATTGCAATGGTGTCATTCAAGATGAAGTTTGCAAAGATCAGTGTGATTCTGGATATTATGAAGATGAGAATAAAAATTGCATCAAATGTGATCAAGTCATGCAAGGGAATTTATGTCAAGCGGAATGTAACAGTGGATATTATGAAGATGGGAATAAAATATGCCTCAAATGTGATCAAGTCATGCAAGGGAAATCCTGTCAAGAAAAATGTGATTTAACATACTATTCAGACCAAAAAAATATATGTCAGAAATGTCCAGAGCACTGTGATATTTGTTCAAATCAATCTACATGTACAAAATGTTCAATTAATTATGTCTTGCAAGGAGATTCATGTGAAACCAAATGTGATGATCATTGGTTCAATTCTTCAAATGTATGTTCAAAATGTTCTTCAAATTGTTCCAAATGTGAAGGAATGGCAAATAATTGCACTTCATGCAATGGAGATCTCGTACTTCAAGGATCAGTTTGCAAAGAGAACTGTGATAGTCATTACTTTAAGAATGGAAAAAGATGCGAAGAATGCGATATTAATTGCTTGGAATGCAATGGCAAAGGTATAAACAATTGCACAAAATGCAATAATGATACATTCTTAGAAAATCAAAATTGTAAAACTTCCTGTAGCAATAGTAAATATGGAAATATCACAACCAATACATGTGATTCATGCCCCAATCGATGCAAAACATGTAATTCACTCTCTAATTGCACTAAATGCGTTAAAGGATTTCATTTATCATCAGGTAATTGTAACTTTTTGGCATCACAGCCATATGATATTTATCAAATCTCTAATTTCAATAAAAAAGTGTTTAAATATCGTCATGAATAAAAATACCCGATTTAATCTTCTTCACCCTAAAAAAAAAAAAAAAAAAAAAAAAAAAAAAAAAAAAAAAAAAAGGTAGTGGGGCTTCCAGGCACTTCGTGCCTTCTAGCCCATAAGAAATTTTACCCAAGAGGAGGACCGAACCCCAGCCGACCAGCCGTTGACTTTTTTGTCATGATTTCATCGTAAATGTTTTGTCAAGACTTCTTCGTAAATGTTTTGTCAAGACTTCTTCATCGTAAATGTTTTGTCAAGACTTCTTCATCGTAATGAGTGTAAATGACCCAAAAATAATGTTTATGTTAGAATGTTAGATCTAACACCTTTTCTAACATGTTTTCTAACCTCATGAAAATTCATGAATTTTCATGAATTTTCATGAATTTCATCGTAAATGTTTTGTCAAGACTTCTTCGTAAATGTTTTGTCGAAACTTCTTCGTAAATGTTTTGTCATGATTTCATCGTAAATGTTTTGTCGAAACTTCTTCGTAAATGTTTTTGTCAAACTTCTTCGTAATGAGCGTAAAGGACCCAAAAATATAATTTATGTTAGAATGTTAGATCTAACATGTTTTCTAACATGTTTTCTAACATGGTCTAAAACTCTTGAATTTTCATGAATTTTCATGATTTCATCGTAAATGTTTCGACAAAACATAGACAATAAAGTTTTGACAAAACATAGACAAGAAAGTTTTGACAAAACATAGACAAGAAAGTTCATGAGAAATTAGACAAGAAAGTCTTGACAAAACATAGACAAGAAAGTCTTGACAAAACATTTACGAAGAAGTCTTGACAAAGTCTCAACAAAGTCTTTACGATGAAGTTTGACAAAACATAGACAAGAAAGTTTTGACAAAACATTTACGAAGAAGTCTTGACAAAACATGTACGAAGAAGAAGTTTCGACAAAACATATACGATGAAATCATGAAAATTCAAGAGTTTTAGACCATGTTAGAAAACATGTTAGAAAACATGTTAGATCTAACATTCTAACATAAACATTATTTTTTGGTCCTTTACACTCATTACGATGAAGTCTTGACAAAACATTTACGAAGAAGTCTTGACAAAACATTTACGATGAAATCATGACAAGATAGAATATGAGAGAGGTCCTATAAACTGGAGAAAGTGTCATATAAACATCTGTCAAAAACCGTTTTTTACTTCACTTAAAATGCCACGTAAGCTACGTAAGAATATACGTAAGAGGAAGGGAGCATTGAAACATCCAAAAGTAAGACTAACACCACAACAACAGTTGCAACAACAAATGCTGAATGACCCCACTATGTTGCAACAAATGTCAAGCAACCCTATGCTTTTAAACCGAGTTATTGGTGCACAGAGTGGAGGTTTAAGAGCGGCACTTTTAGCGAAAATGGGCAGGCTATGGTGGAGCTGCAGACGGAACAGCTTATAACCCTCAAAGTCAAATGAATTTTGAGTTCACTCAAAAATCAAATAACAGATGTCAAAAAGTCAAACATAGACATACAGAAACAAATAAGTGAAAACGAAAAGAAACTAGAATATGACAGACACACAAGAAACTCAATGAGTTAAACGTAGAGAAAAAGAAGAAAGAAGAACAACTGAAAGAACTAAGTACAGAGGAATATGCGAAAAAAGTGTCAGAAAAAGCAGCAGAAGTAGCAAAAATGGAACAAGATGTTTATAAATTTGAAAAACCATACTACTCAATATAAAGTACTGAAAGATGAAGAGATAAAACAAAAAGCCCTGAAGACATATATGGATAGCGATGAGTATAAAAAAGAAGTTGAAGCAAATGTAAAGCAGAAAAACTTTTACAAGTTGCAAAACCAACCGTACAGTATGAAAACTTAGCACAAGAAAGTAAAAATAACGACGCAGCCATGCAAAAGGCAATGAAAAGCGCAGAATATATAAAAGCTAATAATGACTGGTTAGATGCCCAAGCCAACGCTAAAGCAGCCCAGCTTATAGGGTCAATAAGGACAAAAATACAAGCGGATGAAGACAGTTCAAATGAAGCTTTAACAAATGCTGACTTTAAGAACGCCTTCGAAGCTCTTCATAGTAAGGTGAAACTAGTGAACGACTTCTCATCTGGAAAGAAACTGAAGTCTGAAGGTTTCGACAAAGAGTTAAGAGAAGTAGCACAAAATATGACGAAAATAACAGATGCAGCAACGAGACAGGCAGTTCAAAGTGCCTATGACGCCGTTAGAGCAACTGTTGTGGAAAGTCAAGAAAAAGAGTTACAACAGACCAAAACAGACCTAGTAAATGCTTTCTTAAAAACGAAAAGTCAGGTAGGACATTATGCTGCAGATGGAACATATGTGCCAGCTGGTGGAACTTATATACCAGCTGGTGGAACTTATATACTAGCTAGTGGAACTTATATACCACCAAACCCTCCAAGAGAAGCACCTGCACCAGGACTACCTAAAACATTTACATCGTCACATGGACACAGACACAAGCATGCACCAAAACCAACACAACAACCAACAGTTCAAAATCCAGCACAACAACAACCAGCACAACAACCACCTCCACAACCAGCACAGCAACCGACAGTTCAAAACCCTGCACAACAACAACCACAAACAGAGCAAGGACATAAAAGAAGTAGAGAACAAGGAAACCAAGAATTCTTAAAAATGCTTAAAGAAGAGTGTGGTTTCCCAGATACTGTTGACTTTAGTGACAGATATAAAGAAGCTATTAGAAAGTTCAAGGATGGAAATACTGACCCGAACCTATTTAGCTTTATGACTCAGCACCAAATGGGATATAATTTCAAACCTGGAAAATACAAGCTCGCTAAGAGATATGATTTAATAGCATATCATCCAAATGACATGAACGAATTTACTCCGAGATATTTGATGTCAGAGCTAAATGACAATTCAACTTTCGTCATGAAACGCGTAAAAAATAGAGACGGAACGAAAGAACAAAGGCTTATGAATGCGGATGACGTAGATAGGGAAATTGTTGAAAACGGTCTCGGAATATATGAAATGCCAGCAGATGAGGTACAAGAAACTCCACAGGAAGAAATAGTTCAGATACAACCAGACATGGAAGAAATAGTTCAGCAACAACAGCTAGAAGAGCCTGAAGGAAACGAACAAGTCACTCCTTTGGAAACTAACTTCACAGAACTAGATGAAGATTTGGAAACAGCCGAAAAATCTTGACCCTCAACAAGAGTATGCGGAGAATATGGAATATTTCCAAGAGTCTAAAAAAAAATTCGGCTGACATAGTAGAAGAATATCGAAAAATGTTTGCCGACATACAAAAGACTCCAACACCAGATGAAAATATTCAGCATAGAATGGAAGAACTGAAAAAAAATGTACACAAATACAACAACCCTTTTTACTTACGAGCATTTAACGTTCAATCTTCGGATGAACTCGGTGAAGATAAAAGGTTAAATTTCAAGAAAACATATAGAAATGAAACATTGTTTAAAGTTCATTCAGAACCTAGCCAAGATGGAAACAAACCTACTTTTGTTTCTGCAGACGATGGAACTACAATGAGATGGGGTCATAAAGCTAATCCTGATAGGTGGTTCATAACTTACAACCACAATTCCAAGAAGTTGTAGACGCAATGGAAGTCAATGGTGAACCAGATATAGCTGGTATTTTAAGCGCGGCTTTAATGCCATTGAAAGATATGAAAGATGCAGATATTTTGGACCAGTATGAAATGAACATGGCTGATGGAAATATAACACCTGACGTTCTAGAACATTTATCTCAAAGAACTACACAGAACCATAGAGATGGTTATATTTGGTGAAGAGTTTAGAAAGAAAGTTAGGGAGGGAGAAGGAAGAGAACCTATTGTACATGACCTTGCAAACGAAAGTTTACAAAATGTCATAAAAACTTACTTTGCAGACAATGAACCGAGAAGGGATGAATATTTAAGAAAACTCAAATGGACAGTACAAATGAAATGTTAGTATTGAAAAACATGTTCCTTGACAAAATAAAACCAACTACAGAAATAAATGACGAAAGACTGAAACATTGGGTAAAAGCTTTCCCATTCACAAAAGATATTGTTGGTAACATGGAAAGAAAACCAGAATGGCTACAAAAACATATATTTGGAAACGAGCTTATTCCATATGGACAAGCTCTGTTTGAAGAGCTTGAACCTGAAACTCAGGAAAGAGTCATGCAAACAATACGCGAAGACTCAAATACAAACTATGACAAACTCTTTCTAGGATATAGGTTACCTGAGATGGGCGACCAGAGCCCAAAGGCAAAAAGGACATGGGAAATTTACAACATACTAGGTGAACATGAGGCAAAGATGCAACAACTTGAAGCAGAGGGCAAGTTACCAAAAGCGACAGCAAAGAAGAAAAGAAAGTGGTGAAAGTAGTGAAGAACAAAGTGAAAGTAGTGGCAATGAAGGAAAAAGAAGAGTTAAAAACTCAGCCAGGAAGAAAGTAAAGCTTGGTCCACGTGGGTTCTATTATGACAAATAAATCCAACTATTCTATATTTTTACCCATATGAAATGTACGCCGCTCAGAATATAACGCCAACAGTTTTGGATGCCATGAATGGAAATGTTTCCGAATGGTATAACGAATGCGACAATGCCATTAGAAGGTCAGAAATAGTTCCTGGAACTTACGAATATACAACTGCTGTTTCTTATGGAAACGTAGGTGAGTTTGGTGAAGGTT